GACGACCGGGCAAGCGCCTGTCAAGACAGGCCACGGCGGCGTCGGTCCCTACAGCTACGGTGGAGGCCACAGTGGCCACGGCTATGGCGGAGGCGGAGGGCCTGGGGACGGTGACCACGGCTACAGCAGCTCAGGTTAATCGCAGTAGAGCACTGGTAGATCACAATTAAGAGGAGTGACCTCAGAAAAACCCGTCATAGTTCCGTGGCACGATAGCCACGTGCATGATTACTAGAACCGACAAGATCTTGGTAGTATACGAGAAAAGGAAAATTACTTGTTTAAATGTAAGAAAATATAAAAATCGGAATAAGACACTGGGAGCGGCTCCCCGTTCAGTCGCCCTCCTCCAGAAGATCTCGAACAACTTACAGGACAGCACGGACCGCAGTATTGACAAACAGATCTTAGACACAGACCACACAGCAGACGGTTAGTTCCCTGATAAACCAATTTAGAAGAATCAATCAAAGGACCTCATCGGAGGACAAAATGCACGGGGCAGAGGACATGATCGCGGACCATGAATCTTGGGAATGGGTTTGGGTGTTAGGAGAGCAGGCGATCGACTGAATTATCTCACAAGAATGACCGCAAGTCGTGAGGCAACTCTGTCCTCTCGAAAGTGTTTCGCCTCGCAAACGACGAGACGGAGGACCTTAGATGTAATACCAAAGGAAAACGCCAATCCTCGACGGTCTCCTTTGCATGCGTCCGCTTTGTGAACATTCCGTCGTGAGGTCGCCTAAGAGATTTGCCATCTTTCCTGCAGGCTACAGCAGTTCTGGGGGCTCAGCCTCCGGGTACGCTCATCACCCGCCAGAGACCATCGACAAGGGAATGGCGCTCAAAGACCTGTTTGAGGTGGCTCTGACGGCTCTCGCATTCAAATCCTTCGGTCTCTTCTGTATCAACGTCATCATGTGCATCAGCGGAGGGGTACGTATGTCTCGCGGCACTCCCTCACACCTCCTGTGACGTAAGAGGAGACGCCATTTTGTAGTTTCACTTCATCTCCAGCAATGCATGATTCTCCTAATACTCCAACTGACTCCGCAAAATATGAACGTTCCATGGAACTCTGCATTCCAGGCGCTATAAGGCGCGTTATCCACAAGAGGACGTCATCTTCATAAGAAACTCAAATTTCACACATTCCGGTTTCTCTGTACGTGACATGTAATTCGCTGGAAGAGACGAAATCGTGGCGCTGTGGATTTCTAACTTTGGCTGCCGTGGCTGGTTTCACAGTATGGAACAATGCCGACGACCACGGCGACCGAGGATGTCGGGAGACAGCGTTCTCGGCGCACGGCGTCTTCGTACCCGCTCGCATCCGCAGAGGCGCTGAACGCCATGTCGCTGCACGTGCTGAGGTCCGTCGAAGTGTTCGTCGCCCACGACGACGACGACGACGACCAGTGCCTGCGACAGACGCTCTGCGAAATCAACCGATTCTCCAGGCGCCTGGAAGGCACTGACCGCGTCTGGTTGCCGGTCTGGAGGTGGGTTGGCGATTGGTTTTAGGGCGAAATGGAGGGTCTAGTACACACACAGACACGAAGAACCTGTCCAATGTTACCAGCAAATACACTGGGTTCTTTTCCGTTCTCGGTTGACCGCGGGTTTCCTACAAAATTATGACGAGTCTGTTCCGAACTCGGAAATGAGTTTCACACAACGAGACTTCGGGTATTTGAAATTTCAAATAAATAGCGCGTAAGGGAGCATCGATAGCATTTTCCTTCCTCAGATGGCAATAACTGATCACGTTTTCAAAAAATTCCGACATTTGTAAAACCCGCCTCGGGCCACGTTAATATATTATTTTTTTATGATAATTTCTCGTATGTTTAGAATAAAACAAGACGTACTGTAACGCGGTTATTTCAGGCATTCAACGCTTAATAACCAGAATAATCTAGACAGCGAAACATCTCACGCAACGTCGATTCTGTTCCAGTCTGGGTCTGAGCTGGGTTGCTGGACGATTTACGACAGCAGAGCACGCGTCATCGGCCATGTTGGATTATCTTCGAGCATCCGTCACAGGCCTGGGCAATTCCAAGTGCGAGGTCATTTATCCGCGATGTTCGATCCAAGAGGTCTCGAAATTTAGGGCGGACAGAAGACAACATCGCGGGGACAGGGGGGAGCTATAGGAGTTTCAATCACGAATTCTGAGCAATTAACTTCTTCAAATACAAATCATTTACGCGGCTTATGTAATTTCCGTCACTGAATAATGTTAGTATCTCTGCAAACAAGACGCTACCATCTCGTGGTCCACAATCTGAAACATTTTCCCCTTCGATGACCAGAAGTTGAGGATAGACTCCGAGGTTTCAGGATGGCATATGAAGCTATAAGTACACTTAAAAATAATAAAAACGTCCTCTATAACCACTCAAGATACAAGTAGTTAAGTAAGGATTGAGGTTTTCGTCAAATTTCACGAATGAAGATGCATAATGATCTACGATCTGACGTCAGAAAATCTTCCGGTGATTCACCGTCGCGGTAAAACTATTTTCGTGACCGAAACGTCTGCTGGCATGCAACGATGGAGCCGGTTTAAAATTATAAACTTAAGAAGGTCGCAAATCTGTCGAAGGAAAAGTCTGTCAGGAATCTACCACCACTTGGCTTCAGACTTCAATTAATCACAGGTTGAACATTCAATTAAAACATGGCTGCCATTATAACTAAAAAGAACTGTCATTAAGAATGTAATTGCTTGTAATAATAGTGAGATAAATAAATATATTTTTCTAACAACGAACCCCGAGGGTTAATTTCCGATTATTCCTAAAATTTATTTGCAACTGAAATATCAAACATTGATTCTGCACGTCTCAGAAACCAAAATGAAAACTTTCAAGATCAACTTTGATACAGGAAATCATCCCTCTATTAGAAGGTCAAATTATAAGCCACGTCGTAATTTTACGGGACGTGGCTTATATTCAGATTAAGGGGGGGAAAAAAAGTAGTATTCTCAGATTGTGCACGTTTAGGACAAATAACACAGAAAACTGCAACATATTTTCAATTCTGTAAATTTCTCTCCCTCGGACATACATACTTGGCATTAATGAATTCAGTCTTGTATCAAATGAAGAATGCGTTAAGTATTACAAGTGCTAGTTGGATAAATACAATAAGCACCACGACGTCAAGAACAGCGTCGCTGATGTCCGCCGGCAAACCGCCTTACAGTTAACACACACGACACAATCACAGCGCAAACCGGTTTTAACAAAAACACCAAAACACAAAATAAATATCAACGACGACGGAGAACGTCTATTCTAACTTACCGAGTAATATATTTCATTGAAAGAGTAAAAAAATGTATCAATAATACATTCAGTGAGTTGCTGATTGTCATGTTTTGGTTTCTTTACGAACATCCAGGGGCAGCAAAACGCGTCCACTCCCAATGAGAAACGTGTTAAAAAATTAACACTCCATTCCTCAGCACGAACTGATTTCTGTTTTGAAAATGACGAGCTTCTTGTGGTAGGTCGTTAATCTCCGGTTGCTCTTCGACAGCACGTCCTGACAGACGCATCGAATTTGAACTGCCACCTGTAAAAAACAAACAGGATTAGCGTTTGCTGAATCTCTCAAAACGAAAACCTACATTACATTATGCTATCAGAGCGAGACGTGTCTCCCACTTTTCAGAATTAAAATTAAATCTGTGGCGTAACAGCTCCAGAGAGCCAAAGCCGACTAACTTGACTGCTGGCCTCACGTTCACATGCCTAAGCAGAGGTGAACGATCATCCAACGAGATACAGGATGACGTGTGGTCATCACGACGAACCCCCAGCCATTGCTAGCTTTTCCTGACCGGATTGTAGCTCCCCAATTTCCTCACGATGCTGGACTGGTCGAAAGCTCATGTGAAAATTTCTTCTCCCCTCGAGACTCGAACCAGCGAGCATTCCGTCCGAAACATGATGCCTCAGACCGGGCGGCTACGTCGTGGGACACTTTTCAGAATTACTAGGACAAATTTTCATTACAATGAAACATACTAATGAACGCATGTTTTGAGTTCCGAACAGACGTCTAAACTGTGTACGTAGTTTGATGTGTGCACGCAAACGTGTACAGCATGAAATAGTTTGTCAGTTTTATACCAACGTCAAATAAGTACTTTAATTTTCCTCCGCCACTTTTCATACACTTACACAAAATGGTTTTGTTCATAATCATGAGCAAATACATAAAAGAGAGAGCATAATTTTTTTATAAATCACTCTCTTTACCATTAATTACAATAGCATAACTGTACTTAAAATAAAAGGTATTTCATTTCTTCCAAACTTTCGGTCACACAAATGCTTTCGTAAAACAAAGAGTTAGTACACTTAAACAGATACTACAAAGCATGCCTATATGTGAATGAACCGTAACGGTGGTCTAGCGGTGAGAATGCTGGCCTTGTAATCCTGGGGTCTCGGGTTCGAATTTATAACTTGTGTTGGGCAAGGCCGTGGTCTAGGCAACACGGAGTTTTCCTCCGTGGCATCCCAACAATTACTCCATTCACACACAGAAGAAGGCAATGGCAAACCACTTCTGGATCATCTGCCAAGAACGTATATGAACAGGGCCCAGTCCGAGAAAAAGAGGGAAGGATCCTGTTCATATGGACCTATCG